ATTATTATTTGTTTTGTTTTGTTTTTCAAGCCAGGGCTTCTCTGTGCAGCTCTGGCTGTCCTGGAACTCCATGTATAAACCAGGCTGGCTTCCCAGACATCCTCCTGCTTCTGCCTCCCAAAATCTAGGATTAAAGATGAGCATCACCACGGCCAGCCTATTTTTATTTTATGAGCATTTGTTCACATGCATGTCTGTGTACCACATGTGTGCCAGGTGCTCACAGAGGCCAGAGAAGAGCATAGGATCCCCTGGAGCTGTAGTTATGGAGGGTTGTGAACCACCATGGGGTGCAGGGAACTAAATTCAGGTCTTTTACACACACACACACACACACACACACACACACACACACACACACACACACGTATAAAATCTTACTTGATTTTGAGGAAGATAAAGTCACTCAGCCTACCATGAATAAAATACGTGGGGACTGGGGGTAAATGCAAATTAGAACATGTTTTAGAAGGTAAGGGTTAGGAAGTCAGTCATAGGTAACGGTGCACACTGTCCTAAGGCCTGGGAGGTGGAAGCAGAAGGGTCAGAAGTTCACAGTTACATAGAGTCCAGTTACATAGAGCTCAAGGTCAGTTTGGACTAGATGAGACTCTGTCTTACATAAAAAAGAGGGCTGAGGGGTTATGTCAGTCTGCAAAGTGTTTGCTGGTTAAGGATAAGGACCATGAATTCAATTCTCAAAGCAGGGGTGGGATGGGGGGGGGCGCTCTGGACAAGACACAGGTATGGAAACATGAATTTGCAATCCTAGCACTAGGGAAGACAGATTCCTGGATCTGGATAGCCAGCCAGCTTATTCTACTTGGCAAGCTCCTGGGCCCGTGAAGACATTGTCTCAAAAAACAAGATGGGGGTAGGTGAAGGGATATCTCAGTGATTAAGAACACTTGCTGCTCTTGTAGAGGACCTGGATTGGCTCACATGGCAGCTTATGTCAGGGGTATAACTCAGCTCCAAGGAATCCAATGCCCTTTTCTGGCATCCATGGACACTGTTTGCTCATAATGAATATACATACATGCAGAGAAAACTCATAAAATTTTAAAAAAATGAATCTTTAAAACAAAACAAGATGGATACTGTCTGAGGAATAACAACTGAGGCATCCATTTATACATTCTCCCATGTGTGCACCTACCCACACACCTGCATACACACACACACACACACACACACACGCACGCACGCACGCACGCACGCACGCACGCACGCACACACAAAGATTCTATTAGGCAATTACAGACTGTGTAAGTAAATGCTTCAATAAGGCAAATATACAAGTCCCAGGCCAGGATGGGCTGGATCAGACCCTCTCTCAAAATCTCCTCCCCCACAAAAGATGAATATGTTTGACTCTGCATAAAATAATTAACTACTTATAGGTAGATGGTAGTTAATATGGTGTGAAATTAACTGAAGCATTCCCGGATGTAGTTATTGAGCAAGATACGGTAACTCATGCCTATAATCCCAGTCACTGTGAGGAAGAAGCAGGAAGATAGAATTTCAGGTACACAGTGAGGCTTGAGCTACAGAGTGAGACCTTGTCCCAAAAAACTGAAACCAGGGCCAGAGAGATGGCTCAGCAGGTGGGGAGCTTCCTGTTCTTCCAGAGGACACAAGTTCAGTTGCCAGCACCCAGTTTCTAGATCACAACCACCTATTAACTCCAGCTCCCAGGGATCCAATGCCTTCTTCTGGCCTCCACAGATATCCACAAATATTTGGTAGATACACACATAAAAATAAAATTAATTATTTTTTTTTGTTTTTTGTTTTCCACATAGGGTTTCTTTATATGCCCTTGGCTGTCCTGGAACTAACTTTATAGACAAGACTGGCCTCGAACTCACAGTGACCCTCCTGCCTCTTCCTTGAGTGCTAAGACCAAAGACACACATCATTACACCCCTGGCTTGTATTTATTCTTTTGAACTTCAACCCTCACTGTCTTCCACTGCCAGGCACCGCCCTCTGTGACAACATCTACCTCCTGCTAGTCTTGGTATTTCCTGGTCACCTAAAAGCTCTAACTGTCAGCCAGTTTCTCAGAGCAACAGTGGCAGTCACAGCAGGTAACATGGACTAATCAATTGGTAACTTTGTTTTAGAACGAAAGAGTGTTTTATTATTCTTTTTTATTCAGGGAAAGGCTTGGGCTGAAATTACCCAGCTAGACCATTTGTCTGGAAAGTGTGCAGGATGAAGAGACTAACAAAACGTACGGTATATGAAGAATAGCATGTGTCCTAACCATCAATAGTTCAGTGAGCTCTTGCTACCAACTCGCTGGGTGTCATTTTGGGAATTTCACTGGAGCAATACATTATCAAAGTTTAAGAGTATGGTAGTGTCTGGGATTCAGTTCTCTTTCTTTTCTTACCATCTGTTGCCTTACAGGTCACTCCCCAGAAGTAATTGCAACTTCCAAATAGTTCATCAAAAAACTCTTGGCACTTATCCCTTCATTTTATAAATATTATTAGCCATTTCTGGTATCTTATAAATTTTGGCTTTAAAAGTAACTTTATTTCTTTTGTTGTTATGCAATGAAACACATAGCTTTATTTAAAAATGTATAAAAAGTTGTACTTGGGCACAATGGCACATTCCTTATTTAGCCATAAGCAATGTGTCTGAAAGTCTCTTCCCATGCTGAGGAGCTGGGTCTGAGCACTTGTCATGTTCCAGACAGCTGAGCCTTTGCTGAATGGCAGTTGTCTCCACAGCTCTTTCCCTCTGGGCTGGCTGTGACCACTAGCTTAACAACACAAGGGGACTGAAAACAATTTCGGCTTCCTCTTCTGTGATACAAAAGGGGCTTCAGAACAAGGAATGGGCTCCATAAAAATTAACTTTGCGGCCAGGCATTAGTGGCGCACGCCTTTAACCCCAGCACTCGGGAGGCGGAGGCAGGCTGATCTCTGTGAGTTCGAGGCCAGCCTGGTCTCTGGAGCGAGTGCCAGGATAGGCTCCAAAGCTACACAGAGAAACCCTGTCTCGAAAAACCAAAAAAAAAAAAAATTAGCTTCCATGAAGTCTGCTGAAATCACGATAGCCTAACCCCCATGACATGGGGTTGACATTGCTGTTTCTACTCCACGGCTGGTATTCTCACTGCTGACGTGATTTTGGCCTCCTTTCTGCCTTTGTGGGGACTGGGGGATGGGGATCCAGGTTTCATCACCATTCTGGAAAGCACTGCCCGCAGATGTGCTACGGTGACAGCAGCCCCACTTTGCAGTGTCTGCAGGCACGCTGTTCCTCACGAAGCCACTACTCTGGAAAAAACACCATGCTGCCTTAGAACTTCATTGTTCACAGGTTCCTGGCAAGATATGTTTATTTATTTATTTATTTATTGAATAGCATACGGTAATCCATTTGGATAGAAGGAGGTGGCTTGTCACTCTTTGTGCCTCTTAATGCAACAAGAGTTGCTTCTACTACTGGTCACAATCAGACAGTGGTCTGAACACTAGTAACAGTCTTCCATATTCTTTAGAATTTCTCTTCCCTAGCTAGGCAGTGATGGCACATACCTTTAGTCCCAGCACTGGGGAGGCAGACACAGGTGGATCTCTGTGAGTTTGAAGCCAGCCTGGTCTATTGAGCAAGTTCCAGAACAGGTTCCAAAGCTACAAAGAAATCCTGTCTCGAAAAACCAAACCAAAAAAAAAGAAGATTTTTCTTCCCTAAAATCATTCCACCATTCTTTTTAGCCAATATGATACCAAAGGACAAACTAGTAGGCTGCTCCTCTAGACGCCTATTCTGCACGTATCCTCTAAAAGCAATGTTGAGAAGAACAAACAGAAAAGCTGCTTGATGTTTTGTTGCTTTTACAGAAGCACTTACAGGAAGCATGTCTAAAACCACAGAAAACATAAAATATAGACCTGTCCTCACACACAGAGTTGGGTTTACAGAATTTGATCAGTTAAATTGCTGGGGAGGTGTGGGAAAAAGCCAACAAAAGAAGACATGGATATTGGATGCATCTTGTAATCCCATACTGAGGCTGGAGGATTATTAGTCTGAGTGAGTCCAAGGTTAGCCTAGGCTACAAAATGAGACTCTGTCTCAAAGCAAACAAATAAACAAAAAGCTGCAGTAATGGCTTGGATGTGATTTGGGGTACATGAAAAAAGGCTGAGTGACCAGAAAGACTGACAAAACCAGGCTAAAGAGGGGTTCCATAGCCATTTATTGTACTGGGCTACTAAACTATAGTTATACCGTATCATGAAAATATTCCTAAGAATACTGTCTTTGTCTTTGTTCTATTGCTGTAAAGAGACACTATAACCAAGGCACTTCTTTTTTTTTTTTTTTTTTTTTTTTTTTTTTTTTTTTTTTTTTTTTTTTTTTTTTTGAGACAGGGTTCTTTTTGTAACAGTCCTGGCTGTCCTGGAACTCAATCTATAGACCAGGCTGGCCTATTGAACTCACTGAGATCTGCTTGCCTCTGCCTCCTAAATGTCAAGGCAACTCCTATAAGACAAAGCATTTAACTGGGACTTGTGTAAGCACCCATGCTTATTTACAGCTCTAAGTAAGACCACAAGGAATGATATCAGGCCATATTAGAGAGGCCACAGCACAACTGAAGCTTTGGCAATTTTATTGAGAGCAATTAGACTTTTTATAGTTTTATCAGAAACACAATATAATGGTAATTGCCATGATCAATACAGTTGTAGTTGCCAGGATACACTGAAGTTTGCAAGTCATACAGGGTACACAAGATTAATGTTTAACACCAAATTCCTGTCAAGTCTCTATACTTACTTGACTACTAAGTGCGAATACAGAAAAACACAAAGTGGCCTGAATGCCTCACTGCCTGCAGGAACCACCTCTCAGGTACTGGAAGATACACTGTGCCCCAGGAGCCCTGGATTCTAACCTGAAAAACTTGCCTGCCTCTTAAGGCAGCTAGGCCAACCCAACTCCATGGCTCCCTGCAGGCTTGCTTATGAGTTAGAGATTTAGTCTACCTTCATCATGGCAGGGAATGTGGGGGCACACAGACATGGTTGTAACAGTATTTTCTTGTCAGCTGCCAGCTCCCAAATAATGACACAGAGACTTATTAATTATGAAAGCTTGGCCTTTAGCTTACACTTGTTCCCAGCTAGCTCTTTTTTTTGTTTTGTTTTGTTTTTTTTGTTTTTTTTGTTTTTTGTTTTTTGTTTTTTGAGGCAGGGTTTCTCTGTGGCTTTGGAGGCTGTCCTGGAACTAGCTCTTGTAGACCAGGCTGGTCTTGAACTCACAGAGATCCGCCTGCCTCTGCCTCCCGAGTGCTGGGATTAAAGGTGTGCGCCACCACCGCCCGGCTCCCAGCTAGCTCTTATAACTTAAATTAACCTGTTTCTATTCATCTACATTCTGCTACATAGCTTTTACCTCTTTTCCATTCTGTACATCTGACTTGCTCTGCATCTCACTGGCGCCTCCCTTGAACCTAGATACTAACCCTCTGAGGTCCTCTCTCTGCCCAGAAGTTCCCTAACCTCTCGTGCCTACTAAACCAATCAAAATGACACATGATCATACAATATAAACAAATATCCCATAACACATGGTCCTGGAGAAGGAGTTGAGAGTTCTACAGTGGAATCTGCAGGCAGCAGGAAGGGAGCAACATTGGGCCTGACTTGGGCTTTTGAAACCTCAAAGCCCTCCCCCAGTGACACACTTCCTCCAAAAAGACCACACCTACTTCCACAAGGCCACATCTCTCACTTCTTCTCTAGTAATGCCATTCCCTGATGGGCCAAGCATTCAAATATATGAGCTTATAGGGGCCAGTCTTATTTAAACCATTGTAACAGGGCCTCAGACTTAGTAGACCCTGAGACCTTAGCACAACTGACTCTATGATGGAAGTACCATTCAGGCTGTAAAACTCAGCACATAGACAGTACCACCTGCCAAAACTAAAACAAAGGCCCAATCCGTCAAAGTCCATAGTTATGGGAAAGTTTCTAAATGTAGTAACCTTGCTTTTTGGCTTCTGTGGTTTGGCCTTATGCTACATGAGGCTACATGGAGAGTTCTTGGCAAGCAATTGGTGAGGTGGGGACTAGGGTGGTCTGCTTTTCCGACACACAGGCTGACCTCATCTGTATAGCACTGGATGCCCTGGTCCTGTGACTCTAAAGAAAAGCTACTGACTAGAATGGCTTATGACTCATGCTGTTGCAGTTCATGTTGCAGCAATGCTGATTCTGCAGCTACTATTAGGATGCAGAAGGCCTCTCTCCCTCAGAGAACGGGGGAGGAGCTAACAGCTGCTGTTCTCTACTCTAGAGGACCAGGGGAGCTGGAGAAGCTGCTTCCTTCCAGTATTGAGCTGATAAGATTCACCAGTGCTGTCTTTACCCCTGAGGTTGCTTCAGGCAGGAGTGTCTTCCACGTCAAGCTGGAGAGCAGTCAGGCCTGTCTTCCTTATTGCTGTCACCAAATGACTGCTTCCTTCCACAGATCTTCTGTCACCATGAAGGCGACCTTCTCAACTGCACTCCTTGTTCTGTCGATCTCAGTGGGGACTTCCTTGGCAGTCGGTGAGTTACAAGTTCTTGTTCTATCCATATTTTCTGCAGTAGATCTAATCTACTTTAAAATTAGAGGTGCACCTGCCATATAGAGTCATTCATGCATTCATCTGCAGTGCTGGAGATTGGACTGAGAGCCTTGTGCACACTGGACAAGTGCTGTAGCGCTGAGCTACACCCCCAGTCACCATTTAAATGTATTTGATTACTAATTCCTCATGTTACGGATGAAGCTGAAATCCAGAGAAAGGATTCACACAGCATTGCTAAGTATCAGAACTGCGAGTTGAATCCCAGCCTCTGAAATCCAGAGCCACTGACTTTTCCCAAGTATTAAGTTATCAAGAGGACATTCAGTCCTAGGGAGCATTCATTTTCAGTTTGTATCTGTCCATATCCCAAAAGAACTTCCATAGGCTCTGGAGAAGGAGATTCTGATGTTCTTCTGGCTAATGATGGACCATTTTTATAGCAAAAGTGGCATTCACAGTTAGCAGTGGAGCTGAGGACCCTCCCAATCTTTCCCACTTAGACTCCCCAGTGCCTCATTCATCCTTAGTCCCGTATTTTCCATAGCCACTGTCTCTCACATTGAACTCCCCCCACCACTGCCCCCGAAAAGTTCACACCTTGAAAAGCTTTGTAAAAAACTGAGAACTATTATTCATGTCTTGAATATCTCCTCTCCCTCCATATCCTATGGAACCCTGTCTGGAGGAAGCTAGGTACATTTCCACATACCCTCACTTTGGACTCAGTCCTCACCCCCTCTGCTCCCGAACACACTGCCCACCAGCATCCTGCCTTGAGTCCTTCTGATGCATGCTTCAATCCTTGTAGGCAACCAGGCCCTAAGCAGGGAGACCTGCAGGCAGGGCAGTAGTGTATCCTGGACCCTGCTACCCAGGGGCCAGAAGCAGCCTGACCACTGACGGGCTGCATGCATCAAACATTGTCTGGGCTCCACTCTCCCACCCAAAGACTAGCTAACTTCATGACACTTTCTTATCCCGGTCACACGGCACAAGCCACATATCAAAAGTATCGACTAAGCCTGCTTCCTCACAATGCAAAACCGTTCTTTCCCTCATAAACCTTTAAAAATGGACACCTTGCTTTTCTGTCAGCAATGAAGCATCTTGCTCATATCTTCACACTGCCTCTGTGCCTGTGGATTGTTGAGGGTTAATAAATCTCTTTCAGCTGGGTGGTAATCCCAGCACTCAGAGGCAGAGGCAGGCGGGGATCTCTATAGAGTCTCTTCAGGACAGCCAGGACTATTACAAAGAAACCTTGTCTCAAAAGGGGGGTGGGGGGAGAGATGGCTCAGCAGTTAAGAGCACAGGCGGTTCTTCCAGAGGTCCTGAGTTCAATTCCCAGTAACCACATGGTAGATCACAACCATCTATAATGAGATTTGGTGCCCTCTTCTGGCCTGCAGGCAGAACACTGTGTACATAAACAAACAAATAAATAAGTCTTTAAAAAAAGAAAAACAAAACAAATTCCTAAAAAAAAAAAAAAAACAATTCAACTCAACCTCTCTCTCTCTCTCTCTCCCCCTCTTTCCTTTCCCTCCCTCCCCAAAATCTAACAATGGCACCTTCTGCCAGCCTTCTGTAGCAAACACTCCATTTTTCCTGAAAAGCACCCTCTGCTAGCTGCATGGCCTCATATTTTCTCCCGGGTGCTCACATCTAAGTCCAGAAGACAGGACTTGTGAGCAGCATGACGCCATGCCTTCCTTCTCCAGTGCACAATGGCTCCCCTCCACTACTCCTTGAGAGGGTTTTTAAATTAAACTGTTGCTTTGCCTTGTACTTAATCTTCTCCCTTCCTGACCCCAAGCTGTGTCTTTTTCCTCTCAAAATTGAGGAGCTGACAGCAGGTGCAGCTGATGACTAAGCAGTTTTGTGCTTGGCCAGGAAACAGAAGCGTGATAAGAAGTTCACAGAACAGCTTCTCAACTCAACAAAGGCTGGGAACATTTTTGAAGATAAGGGAAGAAAAGGGAGACTTTTAGGTGATAAGGAGCCTTTAATCCTATATGGCCTGCATTCAGTCTGGGTGGAAAGCACTCAGACCAAGGTGGCATGAGAGGCTGGGACCTGCCCCAGGTTAACCTGCCACATAATGTACCACGGGGGACAGAAAATGTCAACATGGCGTCCTTTATGACTGACACCAGTTTTGCTCTGTTCTGTCCCACCATCTTTTTTCTCAGCATTGGCTATGGCACTAATATCTGTGGGGCCCATTAGCTAGATGTCTTGTCTGAAATGGAACATTGGTTATAAAAGAATTGTTTCTCTCAAGTCTGAGAGAATGTTTGCTTGGTAACAGCTTGAAGTACTACTGTAAGACATCATCCATATTGCTCCAAGATCTTTAAAACTATGCTGGGTTTCCCAGCACCTAGCACACCTTATTACATATCCAAGAAATATATACTGTGTGTCGGAAACTAAGCCAGACAGGTTTGTGTAGCAGTAATGTCCCTGGATTCACAGTATGATACACCAAGGGTGGGAGATACAGTGATATCATGACAGCAAATACCTTTAATCCCAGAACTCATGAGGCAGAGGCAAATGGCTCTCTGTGTATTTGAGTTCAAGACCAGCCTGGGCTACATAGTGAATTGCAGGATAGCCACAGCTATATAGAGAGGATGGAGGGTATAGGGAAGGATATCATCAAAGAACTTCCCTGTCTCAAAACAAAACAAACAAACAAATCATAGCACCCACCTAGCCATTAGCAGAGTGGCTCCACATAGTGCCAAACTGGACTTGGTGATGGTTGTGCAATTCTGAACACAGTGTGAATTGTTAGCTTGATATGCTCAGTGAATTCTGTGAGACATGAATCATGCACTAGTGAACCAATATCGAAGCATACACATGATATGACTTGATGTTACATGACTCAACTGTAATTGTTATGTAATTAACTATAGGATTCTTCTATAATTACTCACATGCTAAATAATTACACAATTACTTAATATAAAGCTTTATTGCCGGGCGGTGGTGGCGCACGCCTTTAATACCAGTACTCGGGAGGCAGAGGCAGGCAGATCTCTGTGAGTTAGAGACCAGCCTGGTCTACAAGAGCTAGTTCCAGGACAGCCTCCAAAGCCACAGAGAAACCCTGTCTCAAAAAACCAAATTTAAAAAAAAAGCTTTATATATGGTATACACACGATTGCAGAGATGTAGTCAGATTTTCCTTTGTGGGACTACCAGCCCACAAATAATGACACGGAGACTTATTCATTATGAAAGCTTGGTCGATAGCTTAGGCTTGTCCCCAACTAGCTCTTATCACTCAAATTAACCTGTTTCTATTAATCTACTTTCTACCCCATGGCTTTGACTTCTCTCCTCTTCTGTGTGTCTGATTTGTTCCACCTAGATTCATTTCAAGTTCCTCTCTGTCCCTGGAAGTCCCCCCTATTCTCTCCTGCCTAGCTATTGGCCATTCAGCTCTTTATTAAACTAATCAGTAGGGGCCTTGGCAGAGACTCATCTTCACAGAGTACAAAAAGATTATCCCACTGCACAAAGACAGTTTGGATTGAGTATACAAGCTAGTAAAATTCAGTGTCTTTTAAGGCCTCTCAGTATTAGTTTTACAGATCATTTATAACTTAAAATGCATTTTCTTAAACAACTAATGAAAAACCAAGTGGGGGTGGTGGTTGGCGATGGCTCAGTTGGTAGAGTCCTTCCCAGCATGCACAAAGCCCTGGGCTCCATCCCTAGCACGGCATAAATGGGCACAGAAGCACAAACCTGTAATAGTGACAGCAGGCTCAGAAACTCAAGGTCATCCTGGACTATACAGCAAGCCCAGAGTCAGCCTAGACTACGTGAGAACCTGAAGAAAGGAGGAGGAGACAGGGCAGGCCATCTAGGAGAACCAAAAGGGGAGAGAAGAAAAGGATGGAGGGCATAGGGAAGGATATTGTCAAAGACCTTCCCTTTAAGACTTATTTTATGAAGAAAGATTTATTTATTTATTTATTTATTTTTGGATTTTCGAGACAGGGTTTCTCTGTGTAGCTTTGGAGACTATTCTGGCACTTACTTTGGAGACCAGGCTGGCCTCGAACTCACAGAGATCCACCTGCCTCTGCCTCCCGAGTGCTGGGATCAAAGGCATGCGCCACCAACGCCCGGCTGAAGAGAGATTTATTTCATGTGCATGAATGTTTTGCCTGCATGTGTGTTTGCCACATGTTTGAGAACTGACATCCATATGTGTGCTGTCTGAGAACTGCTTTCACATGTGCACTCTGTCTGAGCACTGCTTTCACATGTGCACTCTGTCTGAGCACTGCTTTCATATGTGCACTGTCTGAGCACTGATTTCACATGTGCACTCTGTCTGAGCACTGCTTTCACATGTGCACTCTGTCTGAGCACTGCTTTCACATGTGCACTCTGTCTGAGCACTGCTTTCACATGTGCACTCTGTCTGAGCACTGCTTTCACATGTGCACTCTGTCTGAGCACTGCTTTCACATGTGCACTCTGTCTGAGCACTGCTTTCACATGTGCACTCTGTCTGAGCACTGCTTTCACATGTGCACTCTGTCTGAGCACTGCTTTCACATGTGTACTATGTCTGAGCACTGCTTTCATATGTGCACTCTGTCTGAGCACTGCTTTCATATGTGCACTCTGTCTGAGCACTGCTTTCATATGTGCACTCTGTCTGAGCACTGCTTTCATATGTGCACTCTGTCTGAGCACTGCTTTCATATGTGCACTCTGTCTGAGCACTGCTTTCATATGTGCACTCTGTCTGAGCACTGCTTTCATATGTGCACTCTGTCTGAGCACTGCTTTCATATGTGCACTCTGTCTGAGCACTGCTTTCATATGTGCACTCTGTCTGAGCACTGCTTTCATATGTGCACTCTGTCTGAGCACTGCTTTCATATGTGCACTCTGTCTGAGCACTGCTTTCAGAGGCCAGAAAAAGGTGTCAGGTGCTCTGGACCTGGAGTTATGGTTGTGAGCCATGCTTTGGGAGCTGAGATCTGAACCTTGGTTGTCTGCCAGAGTAATTAATGCCATCTTTCCAGCCTCAAAGAATATGTAAAAAACATCTTTATAAAATCCAGTACTGCATAAAATGAATATATACCAATTGTAAAAAAGAATTTTAAAGCCAGGAGGTGGTGGCGCACACCTTTAATCCCAGCACTCAGGAGGCAGAGGCAGGTGGATCTCTGGGGTCATGGTCATGCTGGTCTACAAAGGTACAAAGAGAAACCTTGTCTTAAAAAAAAAAAAAAAAAAACCCTAAGGTTTTTGAGGTTATTTTCGAGGTTATTTTCCCATGAAGGGGATAGCCAGGTCTCTACTCCTAACTCTTTTCATATCTGTAGAGGTCAGCTTGTGCTGAAGGGGAGCCCTGGGCTCTGATGATGAGATGGATGCTCTTGAATGACAAGCAGGGTCTCCTTCACCTAGCCTTTTCCCTTGAGGACACAGACAGGGCGATAACTCTCCGGTGTGTACGTTTTTACCCTCCAGATTTCTATCTTCCTATGAGCGCTCACCTGACTGATGAGCTCTTCCAGGAGACGAAGGTGAGCTCCACTTCCCAGGTTCCCAAGAACAGGAATGGAGAAAGACCCAGCTTTCCTCCAAGTCCCTGGGAGGTGGGGAGCAGGAGGGACTTGCCTGGAAACACCATAATCATAAGAGAATCCCAGAGTATGTACAGCTCAGTTGGTTGCCCCTGGGGGCTCTTCCTACACAGTACTCCAATCTTCAAGCCTCCTGTGTTAACTACCATTAAATGCATGAGGAGATCATGGTTCAAATTCAGGTTGGTCCCAACCAGGTGGTGGTGATACACACCTTTAATCCCAGTACTTGGGAAACAGATGCAGGCAGATCCTGAGTTCAAGGCTAGCTTGGACTACAGAGCTAATTCCAGGACAGCCAAGGCTACACTGAGAAACGCTGTCTCAAAAAATAAAAACACAATTCAGGTTGGTCCCATTCTTTCCATGGTGATATATAGGACATATGTATGCCACCCTCATTCCAAACCTCATGAAGCATTCTTTGTCACTGCCATGTAAGGCTGCACAGATTGGAAGTCATTCACCAATGCTCATAAGCAATTCCAATTTTCCAGGCATGGTGGCACACACTATTAATCCCAGCACTTAGGAGGCACAGGTGGGAGGTTCTCTGTGAGTTTGAGTCCAGCCTGGTCTAAATAGTAAGTTCCAGGACAGCCAGGACTATATATAGAGATTCTGTCTCTATATAAAGCAAAAAACCAAAAGCAAAATACAAAAAAGTAGAAATATTAAAGTAGAAATGGAGAAAAAACAACAAAAAGAGAATTAAAAGGAGAAATCCCCTCCATTTTTTAGAAATTCCTTTCCTTTTTTTTTTCTTAAAATTTTATTTTATGTGTATCTATATGGATATATGTCACAAGTGAACAGGTGCCCATGGAAGCCAGAAGAGTGTCTTGGAAAGCCTGGAGCTAGAATTACAGGCAGTTGTGAGCCATCTGATATGGGAGCTGGGAACCAAACTCTGTTCTTCTGGAAGAGCAGCCAGTGCTGTGCCGTCCACCACTGCAGCTCCAGAGATGCCTGTTTGGAAAGACTTTTCCCAGCTTGTGCTCTCTGTAGCATAACAATCACACTTTGTGGTCTGTAGAACAGAGACTTCTTCCTAATAAGGGACTGGTGGGAGGCTGGGGACTGCACAGAACATCTATTACAGTTATGTAGGATCAATAAGGACCAGGATAAATGTAGAGATTCTGAAGCCTATTTTCTAAACTCCTGGCCTGGTGTTCCTTACTCCACCCCATCCCTGCTACCAGTAACGACGACCAAAGGACCTGGAGGGAGGCGATGGAAGCATTGTTCTGTGTCTCACTCAGGTCTTGTGCAACAAGAATGTAAGGAGGTGCTGGATGCTCGCCTACTACAAGCCCGATGAGCCTATATGTGCCACTGACCAAGATACCTACGGCGGTGAGTGCCATCTCTGCTCCAGAATTCTGTAAGTGTCCATTTCATTACCCCTGCCTCAGCCGATTCCGGCCACGTCTTCCCTCCAGACACCCGACACTACTTGCTTCTCCATTTCTCCCCTTTCTCCTCTTGCTCACAAAGTTAAATGGGATCCCATCTCAGCATTGCAGAAAGAGAAAGCCACAGAAGTTAGAGCGCATGTCAGGTGAGGACAATGACCAAGAGGAGGGAACTCAGTAGCAAGTAGGCTTAGCATTCAGACCATGTGATCATAGCCCAGTTGGCTCACCAGGTCAAAGAACAGCCTGGTGAGATTGATGGCTCAGCAGACAGATGCACTTGACACCAAGCCTGATGACTTGAGTTTGATCCATGGTGGAAGGATAGCCCTACATTCCAAAAGTTGTCCTCTGACCTCCACACATACACCATGGCACACACGTAAACACACACACACAAATACACAATGTAATTACAGCACTTTTTAAAGAAGAGGAGGAAGAAGGGAGATGGGCAAAAAAGGGTGGAAGAGGAGGAGAAAAAGGAGGAGGAAGGGGAGGAGGGTGGGGAGGGAGTAGAGTGGGGAGGAGGGGGGTGAGGGAGTAGAGGGGAGGGGGGAG